GCTTTCGTCTGAAAATATAACTTTACTCCAGTCAAAATTTTTATATTTTTTTGCCCATTCCAACCGTTTTTCTTTATAGACATTGGTAAGTAGTGGTTTGGAAAGTTTTACCATGTATTTGCCTCCACCTTCATGTAAAGGTCGTTGAATAACAAAAGAGTAAAAGATACTAATATTCAATTCTTTGTAATTAGTTGTTGCTTTTTGACATTTTTTTATTTGATTGTGAACAAAAAAATAGTCTTTCTCTGGTAATGATATTTTAATTTTATGCATGTCAGTACTAATATATTCATTCTTCCTTTATCAACAATAAAGCTCAAAAATTTTTTGTGAATACCAAAAATTTTTCAAATGTCATGTATTATATGAAGTTGTTATCAGTGTTTGAAAGTTCTAATCCTAAAGATAAATTATTTTTCTGGTATTTTGAAGAATAATCTAACAATTTGCCATGGTTTTTAAATTTTGATATATATATAATTAAGAAAGATAAAATAAATATATTTTATATTTCTTTACTAAGATCGTTAGTTTGAAGGATGTTTTTAAGTATTTTCAAAATATTTATAACTTTAGATTATTAAATAATTTTGTTGTTAAGTTAAATCAAAAGAGTATGATAATTATAATAATCTAGCAAAATATTATAAACACTTTTTAAAATATAAGAATGCAAAAATTAATAAAAAATCAGATTTCTTATTCTAAATTAATAGATTTATTACAATATATTGTTTATTGTATTAAAATTTTAAGTAATTTTAATAAATATAATATATAAAATTTAAAATTATTAAATAATTATATTTTATAAAATGTATAACTTTATAAATAAATATAAAATTTAATTGAATCGTTCTTTTCTGAGCATATTTATAAATTAAAATGTTTATTTATTTCTTAATAAAAAAATTTATATATTTTATAAAGTACAAATATTTGATAATTTTAGATTTTATACATTATAGTTAAAAAATATAAAAGATAAAATTTAGTAACAAACTGAAATTTATATACTAAATATTCTATTTTTAAAGAAACAAATATTTTTGTATTTAGTGAATTAAATTTAATAAAATTTTACTAACAAATTTACCAAGTCAAGATACATCTAATGATATCAAACTTATTTAATTTGAATTACTAGATACAAGATATTATACCTAAAAAATATTATACAAAAATTGAGCTAAAAATTTTTCTAAAGAAATTTTTAAAGAAAAATATTTTTATATATATTTTTATCTAATCAAGTCAAATTTAATAATATCAAAATTATTTGTTTGATTTATTGAATATGCAGATATTCACAAAATGTTAATTTTGAATATAATCTTTGAAACATGATATTTCTATATTTAATAATCAAAATTGAATGACTTTGATATTATTAGATATCTTGATCTGGTGAATCTGTTGACAAAATTTTATTTAATTTGATTTACTGAATATGAAGATATTTATATTTTTATAAAACAAAATATTTCTTATAAATTCAATTTGATATTAAATTTTATTTTTTATATTTTTATATTTTTTATTTGAACTAATAATTAAAATTACTTGAAATTTTAATATATTATATAATAAATCTATTAACTTAGAATAATAATCTAATTTTTTATTGATTTTTGTATTATTATAATTTAAAAAATGTATATAATAATCTACTAGATCACTATACAAGTCCTGAATAATAGTATTTATTAAATTATATAATATATAATACTTTTGTTATTTTTCTAATTCTTAATTTCTGGTGCTATAACATTCAATTTTTTTACTGTGCACAGTTCTTTTGTTTGATATAATTATCAAATAAAAAATTTATAAATAATCTATATATATAGTTAATATTATAATACTCATATTATCTATAATAAGTTAAGATTCAGAAATTTAGTAAAATAAATATTATATATTTATTCATACTGCTTCTCTTTAAATTCACATATATATATCCAATCAAATTTTCTTTATACTTGATATTATATCAACAACCATTTTATTTATATTAATTTGATCTTTTCTGATAATACAATAATTTATATATTGTTTAGTTATTTTTCAGTATTCTTACTTTTCAATAATAATCTTATAAATAAAATATGCTATAATATATTAATTTAATTCTTTCATTATCAAATCATATAATTCTTTTAGGTGACTTTAATAAATATTATTTCAACATGCCAAAAAATGGAGCTGTAAATCTTTTAATATTCAAAGAATTTTATAAAGTTGTCTACAAAATACATTTACAAAGAAATGATCCTCATCAAAATACCAACCAAAGACTAGATATGATCTGATATTCAATAAAAATCATATTTTTCTTAATATTATTGTATAATGAACTTTAATTGAATATTTTACTGGATTATGAATTATAAATATCTTATATCTTATTGGAAGAATCTAATCATGTGAGACAAGCAAATAAACAAGCAAGTGAATAAATAAACAAGTAAATAAATAAGTAAATGAGTGAATGAATAAGTAAAATAATTAAACTAATAGAATTTAGGTAATTGATAGTGAAACCATATTGCTCAATAATATTCATGAGATCTTCTGTAAGAATTAATTGATATAACTTATCATTCATTATTCCATCAATTTTGCAAAAGTTACCAATATCACCAGAAGTGAAGCAATCCCACACCATTACTCTCCACCACTGAATTTAACTGTAAGCTTAATATAATAACTATTTAATAATTCATTGGGTCATTTTTAATAATATTCACATCTGTCTGATCCAAAAACCTTGAATTTTGATTTATTGAATTATATTACCTTTAATCAATCTTCATTGATCCAATTTTTATACTTTTTAGCAAATTGAAGTCTGAGATTTTGATAATTTCAATTTCACGGAGACAATTTCGAACTTGAACAGTGGTGGAGCAATCACGAGAAGTAATGAACTGCATTGTCTGTCTTTTTTGCCACTCATTTAGAATACATGGATGACCAGATTTGCTTGCCTCTTCAAGCATATATTCTTCATGCAATTTTTTATATAAGACACTGTGGACACACTAATATTTCGTGCTCTAGCTATCTCTTGCGTAGTATATTCTTTATTAAGTGAAATAATAATTTTCGCTCTTTCATTTGAAGTTGTATGACATTTTGACGTCTTTGTTTGTTTATTAAGCAGTGACAGCATTGGACAAGAAATAATAAATCACCAAAAAATTGCTTTTTTGGTGATAATCAAATGATAAGAAAACGAGTCAAAAAAAAACGCAACATGCATTTTGTGCAAGTCATTTGATTATTCCAAAATTGGTATTAACAATAGCCAATAAAATTTTTACATATAAAACTGGTACTACATGTATTAATGTACTATATCGATATTTATTAATTTAATAAAATTTTACTAGCTAATTGTGGAAATATATTATAATAAGTAATTTAATAATTTATTGCATTACTTTTGATCGTCACTATATCGCTATTTATCGTTTATATAATCGCTTGTCATTTATATGTAGAAAATATGTGATCGAAGAAAAATCTACTTTATATAATTTTATATGCCGCACATGGGCGTTATTTTAAAAATCTCATGTTTAGAAAATTGACTTTTATTTCAAAATAACGCGCAGGTGATCGAAATAATGCGCAGGTATGCGTTAGTTCACGGTTTTACGGTATACATTTTGATTTTGTATATATGATATAATTTATGATGTAATTTATGATATAATTTATGATGTAATTTATGGTGTAATTTATGATGTAATTTACAGTGTAATTACAGTGTAATTTACATGTAATTTGCGGTGTAATTTGCAGCGTAATTAAAATTGATTGACAAAAATAAAGAAACAAAAGGATTTCTAAAAAAAGATTTAGTATTACCCGTGTAACAATACATATACATTTTGCGCATTCGTTCGTTTCCAAAAATGGAGAACGGTTAAAGTGTAATCCATCACGTGATATATCTTAAAATATTAAAAGGTAATTTCAACGTTAGGGTTGGGAAGGATATATTTAAAATTGCCTTCCTGACATTTTTAATTAGTGCTCCAAGAAAGATTTAAGCACCTGTTTTCAGTATTTTTGTCTTTGCTTCAAATTTGTTTTGCCGGGTTGATTAAAAATTTACGCATCCTCATTGGTTTGTTTTTCGGGCAGATTATCGGATGGACTACCATTTAACCGATTCCCAAAAATGGTCATCATCATCAGGAATCACGAGGCAATTGGAAAATCATGATTCACGTGAAACCATATACGTATTCTGTCATTCAATATGCACATGTAATAGAGTAACTGATATTGAATGATATTATGAAATGATCAAAATTTAAATGATATTGATGAAATAATGAAGCGGATACACTTCAATTGCCTCTATACTATCTTTACCGCAATGAAAAACAAAACCAAAGACCAGTTATGTCATCGCCGTCGTCGTCGTTATTGCTGTCGTCGTCGTCATCAAACTTCACCTTGCATTTGTGTGATTTGATTTTAATTTAATCGAATTTTGAGATTATTTTCATGAGATTTTCTGTAAGTCGAATAAAGTATCTTTATATTAAAATAATTGCATTAACATGTATGAATAATATGTATGAATTTTTCAGTTTGTCAAAAAGGTTTACCTTCATCGATAATTACATTCAAGGAAATCATTTACTCCAACCAAATAACAAAGAAATCTTTTTAACCAAATATCACATTCACAGAAAAATAATGAAAAACAATTTTCTTTTGTATTTGCTTTATTGGCTATGCTTTGTGTTGTCAAAGCTATTCTACATCAACTTTATAAAGAACTACTGAGTTTGGACCATGTCCTGTATCTAGCACACCACCACCCGAGCTCTCTGTAACAATCTCACCTGATCCTGTCGTTCCTGGACAAACTACTACTTTTACTATTACTGGAACGCTGACGACACCAATCACCGAATATTCCGTACTTCTATTTGAATTTGGTGATGATAAAGGTTCTGTAGCTCCTCCCTTTGCTGCGAAACTTCCACCTGGAACCACAGTTAACGCAGAAGTGGATGTTCCGGTACCATCCAATCTACCTGCAACATATGGTATTCTAGTTGCTATTGTCAATCCAAATGTTAACCCAATTGTGACTATAGGCTGTGCATTTACTTTTGTTAATGGTTCTGCTTCCTATATTCTTGCTCTTCCATTCTAGACCAACAATAATTCATATTTTTTACTATTTAATTTTTTACGAGTCTTTTTTTACAATATATTACTTTTTCATTTATATTTATTAACAAAATAAAAAAACCAATTAAAAATAAAGTATCGAATATGTAGCTATATTGGTTCAAATTTGAGAACCTACAAATTAATATTTCGTACTTTTATCTTTGGCTTTAATAACCTCGTCTACACATCTAGGTAGACTTAAAATTAACACACGTAAAAGTTTCTAGATCAATACTCGCCCATACTAATTAATTCTTGGTTTGATGTAAATAAAGGTCTTCTTTTTCAAATATCCCACAGGTGCTCGATTGGATTGAGATCCGGAATTTGACCAACCCAGTCTAAAAGTTTAATATTATGCGTTGAGATCCACCAAGTCGTACATATTAAAGTATGACATGGCACTCCATCTTGCTGAAATATAGCGTTCGGATATTAGCGAGCCCAGGATATAAAATAATTGGCAAGAACATTAATGTAGATATCCGAATCCATGGTTTCATTAACCAGTACCTTACCGATCCTCCACCAAACTTAATAGTAGGCTTAATACATTTTTGGTGGTAAGCTTCACAGGTTTTCGCCGTACTTTTACCTGGTCATCTCATTCATAAAGCACAAATCTGGGCTCGTCAGACAATATAATATTTTTCTATTACTCATTCCAATTGCATTTTTCCTGGCACCAATTTAATTGACAAGTTTCTTGATTTGGAGTTATAATATTTGCGGATGGTGTTCGAATGGCAAGTAGTATTAAATTTGTCATTTAGTTTATTCGTAATTTCACCGAGTAGAGAAAACTGATTTTTAAAATAACTTGTCTTAGTGCACATTTTTTATGATTAGTTAAGGTTTTTGTCGACCAGAACGTTTTTTAGGTAATGTTTATGGTATTATAAGCTGTTGTATGATAATTTTAAGTGCGAGTTCTTGACCTTTGACGCCAGCGAGATAAGAGCCTATTATTTGCTCCCTTTGGTTGTTGGTCAGCTCCTTTCCACGCATTTTTTAAAAAAGTAAAAACGAGTTTTTTTGTATACACGTTGTTTGTGTATATGATCAATGCCAATAAAAATGGCTTTTTAAATCTTAGCAAGACATTTTACACGATCAATATCGATATAGGGGGTGTGTGTATCATTTTTATTAGATTTTGAAAAGAGAAATTGACTTTGTTATTGAACTAGAACTACAAATTATAATTTTATCACTACTCAATCCAGATTTAATAAAATTTTGTGACTATTATTTGTAGTAGCGCAAGGTTAAAAAGAGACCCGTGCCAGCTAAACTAGCTACGTAACGATAATACTTTTCGTCGCGTGTGAGCTGTATAACTAGCATCACGTGCCTTTAGCTTGGTATCACCTGCGGAAAGTTCAGCGTATCACGAGCACTAAGTTCAGAATTATAATGGGCATCCCCGTTTAATAGTCTCTTCAATAAATTGTTGCTTAGTGATCTATAAACGAAAATTCTACCGTGAGCATATATACATG